CAAAGAGGGAACAGTGTGCTGCCCCGCTTTCTAATATGCCCAAATGTTTTAATGAGACTTTTGTTTATTCATTGCCTCAAGATCTCTTATTTACCAGATTGTGTTGCATGCTCACTGATGGGGTAAGGATGAACAGAGAATTAGAGAAGCTGGCCCCAAGACATCTTTCCACAAAGATGTCTGCCTTTGGTCCTTCAGGATCTAAATAAACCATAACCCCAAGCCAAACTAGAGTCGCTGTGGTTTCTAACACCAGATTTTTACAAAATACAGTATGTGCTATTTTAGTGAAGGCAGCTTGGATGCTTATGTTAAAAATAAAGAAAAATAATGAACTAAATTAAACTGTAGGAATTCACAGAAAGTATAATACTAAATGTTTAACTTGCTTACCTTCATCATAAATTTCTGTAGAGCCATGAGAAGGGGAAAAAAAGAGAAAATATGAAATGAATATTTGCTTTCAGATGCTTAAAAATTGGATTTATTTTCCCTGAAAAAGTGAGTGGGATACACAGAACTACAAACCACATTTAAAAGGGACATTTATCATTGCAATTAGCATAATTATAGCTCATGCTATAAAGCAAAACAGCTGCTCAGAACAAGGCTTTATCATTTTAATAAAAGATCATTTTCTCAGATTTTCTTTTTACTTTAAATAATATAGCACATTAAATACTTATTGTTTAAATATAAAACAAAGGTAAAACAGGTACCAAGCCTGATCATCTCACACAACTCATTCTGCAGGTATATGCCAGCTGTACAGTCACTGCATTCAAAGTGCAGTGCTGGGGAGCAACACTAGTGTTGTAGTTGTTATCATATATAAATGCAGAATAAACTAATAAAATTAAAATTTTACTAATATTTAATGCAGTGGTTAAAAAAAAAATCCAGTGCCACATTATTGATGTCAGAAGATTATGGATATTTTTAGGTTCATTTTCATGGAGGTGCTCAAAGATACAAGAAGAGTGTTATTTTACATGCGGTGATTTGGTTTTCTCTGTGGTTCTGTGGCTACCTTTTCCTCTTTTGACCTCGTCAGTTCATATTTTGATATCATAAAGTTTGAAGCTGAGGACTGAAGTTTGGCAGCAAATCTCTATCCAAAGCAAAAAGAGAGTCTACCTGGAGACCCTCCAAGCCAGACTGGGTGCTTTCATCTCATACAGGCTTTTAAAACAGAAGCATCTGTTCTCAAAGATGTACAAGATGTCCTAGCTAAAATAAAAAGTATAATCTAATGATCTCGCACTGTAGGTCTCTTTGCTAGTTAGACATTTGGAAACAAATTGACCAAAACTGAACACAATGCACCCTGCCCACCATCCCAAACTGAGTATTTAAAATACAGTATGATCATTTTGGCATTACTACATCTCGTTTCTTGTCACCCTGATATTTTGTATTCCAAATTACATATTCCAAGTACAATGAACAACAGTCGAGAAACCTTCTGGTTCTCTTTTTGATAATTTATTTTAACTTTTTGATCGTAAACTCTTAACTACTTTCAAATTAAAGTGAATTGTTCATCTCTTCCCTTGATTACTAAAATGATATAGCAGCT